TGTGTGTTACCCCCTGCCCCCACTGCCTGCAACCTTGCTCTGCCTCAGGATCCTCAGAAGGGACCAAGTCCAACCCTCACTTTAACCTTGATGACATTAAGGCCCAGAGAAGGGAAATGACATGCCAAGGTAACACAGCAAGTGAGCAGCCAGGCCAGAATGTTGGTCGCTGCACCATGTTACAACCAGCACCTTATTCCTGAAACAATGAACTGCAAGAACACGGATCCCCACGGCAAACCCTTGAACAGCTCTGAAAGGCAAGCACAATTTTCTGAAGATGAGTGTGGCATAAATAATTCATAAATGAAAGTCATAGCACATATTGGTCATTTTAATAGATAGTAAATTGCCTTTCTGATTTATGGTTTTGGGGTGGGGTTATGATAAAAATAACTTGGTGATTTATAAAACATCTTCTTAAGTCAACAGATCGTTAGTAGGTTTGTCTGACTTTACAGCCAACAGCTTTACCACCCAGGTTACCATAGAAATGGGATGCCTCGCTCTGTTGCCATGGCTACCACTTTCTAGAACACAATTGGTGGGTCTCTCACGGATAGTGATTTGGTTCTGGAAAAAATAAAAAGAGCCAGAAACTACCAGCTTGGGTTTATGTCACATTGTCAGGCAATCTCTCCTACATTGTCTTGAAATTTTACAGCCACAGAGCCGGCCAGGTGGTGTGACAGTTGCCCCTAGGCTGGCTGGCAAAGGTCCCTTGGTGCCTCTAGTCAGACTAGGAGCCCAGAAGGGACAGGCTTCACAACAGGCCATGGGTGTGGTGGGGCTCAGCTGCTGCAGGAGTGGGGTGGCAGAAACAAGACCTGGCAGGTGATGGGAGATCAGAAGGCCTTGGGATGGGGATCAAGGCCCAGGGACAGGAAGTCCAGAGCCAGCATCGTCTGAGCAGGCAGGCTCAGGAAGGGCCAGAGAGGCAAAGGCAAAGAGAGCTGTACCTACCCATGTTGTGGGGGAGAGGTCAACATCACCTCCCAGTGGGGCAGGGTAGGCAGAGCAGTACCTGGGGTCTGTGTGCTCGTAAGTATGCTGCATGGTGCCACCACTGCATCATCTGTGTGCTCTCGTGTGTATCCGCATGAGTTGTGTGTATGCACGTGCATTTGCGCCTTTTGATATAGCACCTGGGTGTATCTGTTTGGTGTGCAGTGACATGACTCAGTGACTCTACTTGGGCTCTCACATTCTATGTGTGTGACCAGGCATTGAGCTGTGGTTCATGTGTCCTTGTGCTCAGTGTTGGTGCTTAGGTGATAGGTGAGGTGTGTTCTGTCTGGGTGGTGGTTGTGTCTATGATCTGTGGGTGACAGTTTCATGTTTCTGGGTGACTGGGGACTTGGAGGCAGACAGCTCATGGGGGTGCAGCCTCCCTGCCCTTGCCCTGGGGTTGATAAGCCCAGGGTCCTGCAGCTGCTGCTCAAGGATTATCATTCTGAGTCTGCTAAGCAGGGCTTCCCTCCCTGCCAGGGGTCAGCTGATCCCAGGCCTAAGCCCACACCCATGCCCACACCCTTCCCTGTCCCATTGGCTCAGCTCCCCAGAAAGTTCAGGTCTTCTCCTCAGTGGAAGAAAGAAGCCAGGCAGGGACACAGGCTAGGCTATCGAAGGATGCTGTCATCACTGGAGCCCACCCAGAGAGCTGCTCCTGCCCCAGGTCCTAGCAAGTTGTGGGCAATGAGGCCTAAGAATGATTCCAATGTGTCTGAGCTCCTGCCTGGGGGCCCAGGTGCCATGCTGTGTCTGTCATAAGGGAGATCTCAGGGAGAGCTGGACTGTGGGTACCAAACTCCAGGATGGAACCATCCAGACATAATCAGGCCAGCTGCAAAGTGGGATGAGTTGTGTTCTTTTGCCCCAGGAGATTTGGAGACTTGGAGGTCAGAGCTCAGGTTGCAAAGCTTGGTAAACCTGGGTCCAGTCTCAGTCCTCACTGGCTTTCAAACCTAGGCTTAGTCCTTTAACCTCTTGGTACCTGGCTTTCCTTCTTAACATATGTCAGTACAAGGATTAAAGGCTCATGGTAGGTCCTCAAGCTCTGCTTTCCTCCTTCTTGAGCTCAGCCAGCCCTAGGCATGAGCAGAGAGAACTGGAGGCTTGACTGCTGTCACTTTGGCTGTGTCCTTGATTGTCCATCTACTAGTCTCTGGATTTGGAGAATGTTGGAGTCTGAGCGAATCAGGAGCAGCTTGCTCCACAGCCCTCTAAGAGTCCTCTCAAACCTGAATGTTGCTAGAGCTCTGCCTATGAGGGATGATGGCCACGCTTTGAGGCAGCAGAAGCCAAGAAAGCAGGCACCCAGGGAGCCTCTGTAGGGAAGAAGGCCTAGCCTCCACCCCTCCAGCTCTTCAGGGGAAGAAATCTTAGTGTCTGGCTCTAGGCTTGGTTTCTACTGCCTTCCCTTCGTCTCCCCACTCCTTGGGCAGTGGATATCAGGCTACAGTTAATCCTGGAAAACCAAGGACTTTTCTATACAAATCTTACAAGGCCTGACCTCCTTCTGGGCCTCAGTTTTCCCATCAGGATCTGTAGTGAGGTAGGGCAAATGAAAGAGAGCTAGAGGGCCTGCAAGGGCACCTGGGAGTTAGAAGGCTCCTGGGATATCAATGCCTTATCTGGGCCATTCCCACGAGCCTCCCTAGTCACTATAGAGCCAGGTTGGAGACAGATTCTCTGTCTCCCTAGGGTGAATATAGAGACTCCTTGGGGAGTCCCTTTATTTACAGCCTTATAGAGACCACAGTGCCAATGAGAGCCTCACCCCAGGGAAAGAGATATTAATGAAGGGTGAATGGGATTTTCCCAGACAGATTGGAAGGGACACTCTCCCTCCCATAGAAGGTATAGCAGGTGCGAAGCCATGAAAATGGGGGAGACACTGCGGTCAGAAATGGCAGAGAGTTTCACATGGTATGAATGTTGGGGACGTGTAGGAAGAGGACCTTGAAAAGCCAAGTGAGGCCAGGGCATGGAGAGTCTCATGTTTCAGGCTGGGGAGTTTGGGCTTTTCTCTGTAGGCAGCATGGGCAGAGCTGGGATTCCCATGGGCAGCTCCTTCTGATGGCTGTGTGACTGAGAATGAAGCCTTAAACCTGTGTTGATGGGGGGTGGCCGGGTTGAGAGAGAACACAGAGGAGGGTGGAAGTGGGAGAGCTCAGGATAAGGGTGTCCTGGCTGGTGGTGCATCAAGAAAGGAGGTACCTCCTGGCTTCACCTTTGGTCAGATCAGGAACTCTGGGTGCCATGGGCTGTGCCTCTGAGATGCCCTCAGACTCTCACAGGGTGCATATTCCTCTCCGCTCAGGACAAGGCCCAGGCAAGGGGCATCACCTATCCTTAAGGAGTCTGGATCGTGAGTGCCAAGCTCCAAAATGGAGCCCCCAGAAGAAACTRGGCACCAGATACCCAGCAATGGGGATTTCCCCCCCTAGTACTAGAGATTGAACCCAGGGCCTTGTACACACTAGGCAAGTGCTGCTCTACCACTGAGCTACATCCCCAGCCCAGGGGTGTACTTTTTAGCTCCAAGAGGTTTGGTTACTCTAGTGATGGAAAGAGTTTGGGAGCTTGGTGAACTTGGGTCTGAGGTGGTAGCCTCTTCCAGTTGCCTCTGCCTTGCTTTCCTGATCTTTCTCTGTGGCCTCCCAGGTCTGAACTATCTGCATCTTGAAGAAAGAGCTTTCTGGAGTTGGAAGACCTGGCTGCGGCCTCTACCTGCCTCTCTCAAGGGTGTACAGATTGTTCTCACCTTTTCCCAGCCCCTCTTGGGGCTGAGGGGGCTCATCTTTAAGCCCCGTGCATTGTATACTCATCTCTGTATGGTCCTTCACCCCCAGCTATCAGGGGAGCTCCTGAGGCTGGACAAGGCTTTGTTCAACTCTGTGCTTGTCATAACCTTGTGCCTGGTGAAGATTGCCAAGAAAAAAGGATGGAGGAATGAACCAATGGGTGGATGGACAGGTGAAAGGAAAGGAGGGGAAAAAGAAGAAGGGGTTATAAAAAGAAAAGAGGAGGGAAGGGAAGAAGAACGGTGGATGAAAGTAAGGGAAGGAAGGGTAGAATGAACACACAAAGGAAGGAGGACAGGAAGGAGTGTGAATGGGTGAACAGATGGAAGAAAGGAAGGGAGGGAGAGAGGTAGAAGGAAAGAAGCATGAGTGGACAGATGGATGGTCATTCTGAAAACCTGACTTTGTCCCCCCCTTCTTCCCCCTCCTCTCCCCTAGTCCACAATGTGGTTAAAAAAATCCATACAGTTCTTAGTTCCCAGATCCCTGCAAGATCAAGTGCCAGGCCCCTTGGTCAGAGTCAACCCAGACTGGGTCATTCTGAGACTCCCAGTGTGGACCCCCCACAGTGGGGGGTGGGCATCATAGCAAACTCAGGCAATTGCCAGAGGCTTTGTGGCTGCCTTCTGCTGCTGACCTGCGGTGCGATCTTGACACTCCGTGATGGAAATAGACAGGAGTTGGATAGAAGAAAGATGAGAAATGCAGCCCCTGAATAGCTGATGCCCCTACAGCTGCCCCTCTCATTTCTTTGCGATCTTCAGCTCCAGCAAGCCAGGTCACCATGATTAGTCAGGGTCGCTAACTCTTTAACAAATCACCTCCAAGTTGCAGTAGTTTAAGACAATAGAAGTTTATTTCCCAGTCAGGTTCAATGAGGGTATTTAGTGGATGTCTTTCTTTCCAGGGACCCAGGCTCCTTCCCTCTGGTGACTGCTGGCCCCTAGGGCTTCAGTGTCTGGCTGGCAATGGGGGTAAGAAAGTATGGAAGATCAAGGAGGAGGGTTTTACCAGCTGGGCCTGGCAGTAGTGCACATCACTCTGCTGAGGAAAATGTGGCATGTCAGCTAAGGTCATGTTGGAAGGGGCCCTCGGTGGGCATCTTCCCCTGCTCTGGCCCTCTGCCTGGACCCAGCTTTCTGTAGTCTGGGTGGGAGGGCTTCCCCTCTGACACTCTGTGTTTCTTGCCCACAGTATGTGGCCTTTGCCTCCCTGTTCTTCATCCTGGTCTCCATCACCACCTTCTGCCTGGAGACCCACGAGCGCTTCAATCCTATCGTGAACAAGACAGAGATTGAGAATGTTCAGAATGGCACGCAAGTGCGCTACTACAGGGAAGCGGAGACAGAGGCCTTCCTCACCTACATCGAGGGCGTCTGCGTGGTGTGGTTCACCTTTGAGTTCCTCATGCGTGTGGTCTTCTGCCCCAACAAAGTTGAGTTCATCAAGAACTCGCTCAACATCATTGACTTTGTGGCCATCCTCCCCTTCTACCTGGAGGTGGGCCTAAGTGGCCTGTCCTCCAAGGCTGCCAAGGATGTCCTGGGCTTCCTGCGAGTTGTCCGCTTCGTGCGCATCCTGCGCATCTTCAAGCTGACCCGCCACTTCGTGGGCCTGCGTGTCCTGGGCCACACACTCCGTGCCAGCACCAACGAGTTCCTGCTGCTCATCATCTTCCTGGCCCTGGGCGTGCTCATCTTTGCCACCATGATCTACTATGCCGAGAGGATAGGGGCACAGCCCAACGACCCCAGTGCCAGTGAGCACACGCACTTTAAGAACATCCCCATTGGCTTCTGGTGGGCCGTGGTCACCATGACGACACTGGGCTACGGAGACATGTACCCGCAGACATGGTCTGGCATGTTGGTGGGAGCACTGTGCGCACTGGCAGGCGTGCTGACCATTGCCATGCCCGTGCCTGTCATCGTGAACAATTTTGGGATGTATTACTCCTTAGCCATGGCTAAGCAGAAACTACCAAAGAAAAAAAAGAAGCATATTCCGCGGCCACCGCAGCTGGGATCTCCCAATTATTGTAAATCTGTCGTAAACTCTCCACACCACAGTACTCAGAGTGACACATGTCCGCTGGCCCAGGAAGAAATTTTAGAAATTAACAGAGCAGGTAGGAAACCTCTTAGAGGCATGTCGATCTGACCTTTCACCTCCGCCCCCTGTAGCGATGATTCCAGATTCAGTCAAACTGCTTCCTTAGTTCTGTGGGCGACCCCGGACCCTGCACTCAGTCTCGAGGTGTGGAGCCTGGGGGCCCAGGGAGATGCTGGCAGCCAAATTCAGAAGGCAAGAGCCTGCTAGAGGAACCTCACTGGTGGCCCCGGGTAAGGAGGTTGATGCGGTTGGTCTCGTGACGTTCTGAAGAGACCACATGGCCCGTGGAGTTACTGAGGACTATCTTAGCAGGAGCCCCGGGGGCTGCTGCTCATGTGCGCAGGAGTCAAGCGTGAGTCTCTGACTCAGGCTACTGACCCAGTGTTGGGGCAGGATGGGGGCGGGTATGATTTGGAGATGCCAGCTAGCTTCTGATTTGGTCCTTAACACAGCATCCTTTAGGCTGTGTAGACAGCAGAAATTGTTCATGGGGTCTGGGCAGGAGGATCCCTGCAAAGGCAGTAGATTCTCAGCCCCACAAGAACCGTCTCCATAGCTGAGTAGATTCCTGCTCTGATTCCGGCTGTCTAGCTCCAGGTCCTTCTTAGGAGATGCCCCTAGCCATCTGTGACAAGCTTACTTACCCATAGCATGCCGAACCAACTCATCTTCTACCACCACTCTAGAGTTTAGCATTTATCTTTAGGAACCTGTTGGAGTGACTCTGGCTTTCACGGTGTCTGTTGGGGTTGATGGTCCAGTGGGAGTTTCTGGAGACCTGATGGAAGCGCTGGTGAGCAAAGGATTAGGGGGGGCCACCACCCTGGGCAGCTTAGATGAAAGCGCTACAGACCAGCAACAGTCTCCACCAAGGGTTGTTCCCATGTCCGGTGGTAGGGACTGCAGCAGCAATACTAGACATCCCAACCAGTGTACAACCACTTTCCCGTGAATTCACTGGGGGCTGGGGGGGAGGGGGGCCATGGGGGGAGGGGGGCCATGAAACAATACTAGTCACCATGGGATATATTCTAATATTCCATGGCTAGTGGTTCATTATGGGACTATCTCAGTTTTATGAGAATCTGCACATAGCACATAAAGTTGATCATGGGGCTCTGGTCTGAAGATATAAAGCCCATAGTCTACCTCTACCCATGGAATACCATCGACTTATTCTGTGGACACAGGGATCTCAAAGGATTGGATGACCCAGAGAAGAATGACAACAATGAGCTAAGAAGGAGTACCCGGGTGAGCACAAGGTTGACAGGAGAGGTTAATCTGTGAAGGACATCCCCAAGCCCAGGTCTGGCATGGGGGCTGCAGACTAGCTCAGACCCAGATGAGGAAGTTTCCCTTTGGTTCAGTTGGCCTCCCCCAGTGGTGATTGATCTCCTTCCCTGCCCATGTGCTCTCTGACCCACCCCCTCATCCTCATTCTGTTTAGGCTTCATCCCATAGCTAGGCCAGCCAGAGCAGTATTCCCAAGGCCCGCTTCTCTGCCCCTTTGCTCTCCCCTGGGATTTCTGTATGCACTTGAGAGGAACATGGCTATTGTCTTGGGCTGGGCCAGAGGGTGGACAGGGGTCTCAGAGGCTGAAACAGGGGCCTGGGGTGGGGAAAGTCTTCCAGCCAAGTCATGACTGTCCATAGAAAGCCCTGCCCCACCCCTCTTCTTCAGATTAGCTAGCCATTTCACCACAGGATCCACCATCAGGGCAAGCACAGTTCCTGGGGCTCTGGGGGAAGGTCTGGGCTGGCCTAGCTTTCAGCTCCACTATGGGCCCCAGCATGCTCAGCCTGAGGGGTGCCATCATGACACTACTTAACCCTTCCTCTGCATCCTTCCTGACACTCCATCTTTCAGGACTGGTATCCAAGCTTAGGAGCCGCACACGCACACCAGCCAGTCAAGGATCTCCATTTCACTCCAGGCAGGCCCAGATTCCTCTGTATGCCTAGACAATGGTGATATTATCCAAGTGCTGAGGACACACACACAGGAGCGTGGATGTGTGTATTCAGACTTACAAACCAGCTACTTCCAGGGACATAGCCCCCTTCCCATGCTGCAGCAGACCTGCACTCCTGTGGGAGGGATTCCCCTGAGTTCCACAGTCCTTCCCCAGCCTTGGCAGCCCTGCCCCTGGGAGACACTTCGCTCTGGCTTCAGGTTTGAGACCCCAAGAGTCTGGGGTTTGGATAGTTCTATAGCTAAGGAGATGTTTGGGTGCCCTCTGGAACCTAGATGCCTAGACCCTCCTGCCTTCCCCCTCCACCTCATCCCTCTTGCTGTGTTCCCATCTCCTTCCCAAGCACCTGATGGTGTTGGTGCTGTCCTAATGTTCAGACCCTCCCCCAACCAGGCTCTGAGACCCCGTTTCCACTCTGAGCCTCATCCCTCATCAGAACACACCTCCCTCCAGGCATGTGAGACCTGGATTATGTGCCACCAGTAGGATATGGGTCCTAGGGGAGTGTCCTGCCTCATCTCTGTGTCCTGGCCTCCCTTTCCATTTTCCTCTGTTTCTGCTTGGAACTGTGTGCCCAGATGGGTACGGGCTTGGGGTGAGTTTGTGAGAGAGTGAGGGAGACGCCAGAGGCAAGGAAGGTAGTGGTGGTGGTGGGTAGAGACCAGACCCTCCAGGGATTTGGGCAGGTGAAATGCAGCAAACTCCATCCAGGCCTTTCCAGGGAAAGTAAATAGTTCCATAAAATCCAGGGTTCTCCAGTTTCAATTCTGAGACCTGTGGGACCAAGTGCAATATGTGGGCCCTGAGGGCATCCCACTCTCACCTTCCTGCCCAGGCTGGGTCCAGGACTGAAGCAAGTCCTCCTGGCTGGGCAGTTGCACCTTCCTTTCACCTCCACCTCTTGGCCACTCCTGAAACTTCAGTTTGTGTGTCTGTCCCAGGTTTGTTCTGACCTCCTCCTCTGAGCCATGGCTGATGGCCTCAGTGTTGGGAGTCTTATCCTGGGGAATTGTCAAGGACCTGGTTGTCAACTTGACTGTGGGTCCTCATAGGGGGAGGCTAGACAGGCCCAGCCTGGGTCACTGGTGACCCAGAAGAAGCCGCCTCTTTCACTAAAAGGGGCAGCCGGGGCCCAGACCACCTGTTCTGGGCAGCTTAGAGTACTCCCTTTGTTCTGCCATGTTCATTCACATGTGTCTTGTCCATCTCTGCTGCTGTGATGTGGGTTGATCCTTTGTGGTGCCGCGTTCAGGAATGCAGGGTCTCATCATAGGTGAGCAGGAATGGCGAGGAAAGAGGGATGGTGGTATGTATGCAGGGCAGCAGTGAGGTCCCAGAGAAGCCCCTACCTCAGCTTACTGGGACCACTGAGGCCTCTGGGTCATTTTTGGGTGAGGGGTTCCTCCCCTGAGAGCAGAGTACAAAGTCCCCTATCTCTGATCCCTCCGCCTGTCTCCTGGTGGGCTGCAGTGGCTGCCCAGGAAGTGGTGCTAGCCTCGGGGCAGGGAGGGTGATGGGATTGGGGGCAGAGTTGACCAGGCAGGATGTGGGGCTGAAAAGACTGTGTGGGCCCAGCAGCAGAGTTGGCAGCGTGGACCCTGAATAGGGTCCTTGTTGTCCCCAGGTGGGCTAAGGGGGAAGCAGTGGAAAAGTGCACTGACTCGAAAGGCCAGGCATGGGTGTTCTTTTCCATGTTGTTCACATTCTGTCTTTCTCTCTCTCCACTAATCATGTGTCCCTCTCTTCTCTCTCTCTCTCTCTCTCTCTCTCTCTCTCTCTCTCTCTCTCTCTCTCTCTCTCCTCGTTTTGTTGCATGACTTGTGCTGGTTTTTGTGAATGTCTTTCTCACAGACTGTCCCCATTTAGCCCGGGATGTTTTCCCCTGAATCCCCAGCTGGGCAGATCCCTTGGGGCATACCCAGGGAAATGCCCAGAAACCCCCACCCCACCCCAGCCCTGCGTGCGCCGCGGGCGCCCATGCTGGTGTGAACAGTAAGTACCGTCGCGGTGCCTGGAGACGGGCAGTAAAGGCAGCCTGCTGGCTGAGGGCCCCACCACACAGTTCTCCTTGCTCCAAAGTTTTAAAAAAAATGACCCTCTTGCGGACGCTCATCTCAGCCCATTTCAAAGCCTGGAAACCATCTCTGAGACGCTGCCCATGTTGTCATTTCATCATTGCAGCCTGTGGGTCTAGTAGGGGCCCGGGGGCCCTGAGCCAGAGGAGGCAGGGCCCCCAGCCCTCTGGAAAGCTGGTGGGAACTGAGGCTTCTAGCTGCCATCTCATCCAAAGATGGACTGGGGCAGCGGGTGGGGAATCTTGGTTGAGTTTGAATCTGTGGTCCTTTTCACTGGTTTCCCAGATTTAGACAGTTGGGTCTTTCCTGTCACCCTACTGGAGTTGGAGAAGGAGGATGCCCCAGTTTCTGAGAGTATCCTGAACTGCAGACAAACCAGCAGCCACGCAGTCCTAGTTTCCTCCTCAAAGATCAAGGCTGAAAGAAAAAGCAGACTCAAGAGTGTCCTGGGAATCCCCCCAAGGACCCCTGGTGGTTGCTCCTTGCCCCTGCCCCTTCAGGGAAAATGAGCCCCAACTTGGGCCCTTTAAAGTTGTGGGATTTGGGAGTCCTTGGGGCATGGGGACTTGTGGGCAGAGCTAGAGGAAAGTCTCTGACTGCACCATCTTAGTGGAGGCAGAGGCAGACAGGGGCAGCTCTTCTGGACAAGAACTGCAGGCCGTGGTCACTTCCATTGATAGGTTATGGCCAAGAAAGAGAACAAGCTCTCAGGCCCCTCCTAGAGGGAGCCGCTGCCTGGGAGAGCCTACTGGCCTTCCCCTGAAGGGAAACTCATGCAGGGTACTATGGTCCCAACTGCCACAGTCTCATTTACTTCCACTTCATACTGTTTCCTTCCCTTCTGCCCAGCATCCTCCTCTGCCCTGAGATCCCTGGGGAGGGAGACAAGGGCCAACCAGAGTGCAGGCCCTCTAGCGTGTCTGTGAGCACACATGTGTGCCTGCAGACACGCCCCAGGGAGCTAGGCAGCCCCCAGCCCCAGTCACATGGTGTCAGAGTTTCCTTGGTAACTGGCCTTTCTGGTTCAGAGTAAATTGGGGAGTAAAGCCCCTGGGATTTGTCAAGAAACGCACTGTACGTGAAATGCTTTGCCATCTTGTATGAGAGACTTTTTTAAGTTCCAAAATTATGATGGGTTTTTTTGGATTTGCTTTAATGAATAAACCTGATTGGTCCATTTCTCTTTTGACTGACTGCCTCTTTGTAGTGACATGATGTGTACACGGGTGATGATCCCACCCACGTGTACGCCAAGTGTGTGCACGCGGGAAAGGATCACTCTGCGTGTAGTTACATGATGTGAACAGGATCATGGGAAAGTGTCAACTCGGTGGAAATTGTCTCCAGCTTTCCCCCTCTTTAATCTTCTAGAGAATCTCCCCTAACATGGTTGTTCAAGTTGGTTTCCTTCCACAAAAGGGCTTCCACCCTAGATGCAGTGTTTAAGTTGGCTGCACCCTTGCCAGAAAGTTTCTGCTTTGAGGGCTGACAGCATGGGACAGGCTTAGTCCCTAAAAGTGATGGGGCAAGGGCAAAGGCCACCTTGGCCAACCCAAGCTGCCACCACTCTGCTCCTGGAATTGGGAGAGACAGGATTCCTTGCTCTGGCCACACATTGCCCCCAGCAAATGTGCTCCCTGACCTCCTCCCAGCTTCCTTCTCAGGCGACCACAGAGGCCAAGACTTGAATTTTCTCCACCCAAGTCCATCAGCCACTGTTGTCTTCAACACATCCATTTGCTCTGCTTTGCCGGGGACACTGACAGAGGAGACAGGAATGGGAGCCCCTCCCACATCCATGTCCCACCATCAAGCCTCATGCATACATCCCTGTTGTGCCTGTGCGAGCTGACCAGGCCTGCCAGAGCCTGTGGGCAACGATGCTGGCTTGGTGTGTGTGGGGAGCAGAGTGGACTGAGTGGTCAGTGTGGGTCTGCATGGGGACCAAGCAGATGGAGTGGTCAAATCGGATCTGAGTGCAGGGCAGAGTAAAATGTGTGACCAAGCCTAGTCTGCACAGGGGATGGGAAGTCAGAATGACCATATTGGGTCCTTATGGGGACAGAATAGAAGATGTCCCCAGGCCTAGTCTGTACAGGGGACAGAGTGATCAGATTAGGTCCTTGTGGGGACAGAGTAACAGGTATGAGCAGGCCTAGTCTGTACAGAGGATGGGACATCAGAGCAACCAAATAGAGTCCATATGGAGTTGTGGGGGGTGGGTGGCAGAGAAATCAGAGTGTGTGTGTATGGGAGAACAGAATAAACCAAGTGATCAGATGGAATCCAAACAGAGGTGGAGTGGAGAAAATCAGGTGGGGTCTGGATGGGGAGAAGTCTGACTGACTGGTTGGCTGAGTGTCAATGGAAGGTAGTTGGGCTCTGGTCAGTGGCAGAAGGGGGTCTGGAAGTCTGCCTCTTTGGATTGGAGCATTTCTGCGTGTCTGTCTGTCTTCTCCCTGAGCTCTGTGTCTGGCCCTCTCCCCATGACCACATCCACACCATGCTGTCTCATTGGCCCTGCCTTGGGCCCTGGGCCTGGCCCCCAGCACTGCATGCGGGGCCCATCACCAATTCATCTTTTTGCAAACTTTGAGCAAACCCAGGAGCCCCTTCTCCCTTCCCAGCATGGTGGGCAGCCTGTGGGCTGCCTGAACAAGCTGAGGCCTCCCCAAACCTTACACCCTACTCCATGACCTGCCCACTTTTCCATCCTTAGGGATGGGCTTCCCTTTGTCAAATGCCCCTCCTCTGGCCTGTTCCCCCCCTCACTAAACAGTTTTAAGTGTCTCAATAGCTTCTGCTTATATGTTTGAAGATTCCAAACTGAATGGGGAGGTGGCGAAGGCCGCGCTGGCGAACGAAGACTGCCCCCACATAGACCAGGCCCTCACTCCCGATGAGGGCCTGCCCTTTACGCGCTCGGGCACCCGCGAGAGATACGGACCCTGCTTCCTCTTATCAACCGGGGAGTACGCGTGCCCACCTGGTGGAGGAATGAGAAAGGGTATGTAGAGGAAGCTGGAGCACTATGCATCGGCCGGGCCCGCCTCGCGCTCCTGCAGGTGGGTGGGCAGGGCGGCGGGCAAGGGACGCTGAGGGGCAGGCAGGCACAGTAAGGGGGGCAAGGATGGAGGGAGTCCCCCACGGTTGGCCCCTGGAGGTCAGAGTCCCCTTCTCCCAAGTGAGATGTCAGGCTGGCAGAGAAAACCTGAGGCCCAGGCAGCTGTGGGTCAGTACTGAGCTAAGTAGTAGAAAGGGGATTGGCACAGGCTGGCTTACTGTGGGTGCACCTGAAGGCAGGGTGCACCCAGGGATGCAGGAGCAGCCTCGGCTTCACTAGGTTGGTTTGACAGGGGCAGGTCAGGTCCACAGGCACAGTGATCTCTCTTCTCCCTTGATTGAGGAAGATGGTGAGAGGGGCCTGGCATAGCCAGGACCCTGTAAACTTATCTACCCAAGATCCATGTTATGGAAGAGGCATCCTTTAATAAGAATCCACAAGTCAGAAGGAGGGAAGGCATGAAGAGAGAGGTGGCTTCAGGGCTTGGGGATAAGGCCATGTCCTTGCAGAGGTAAGGTGTATGCCAGTGGCAGATAGAGTATTACTAGTGGCAGATAGAAAACTTGCCAGGAGGAGGTGGGTAAGCAGGACTCTGTACAGCCCCTTCCATCGCCAGTGCCCATTGGCCACTGCTGGTGTGCTCAGCGCCCCCTTGTGGTTGGCAAAGACTGAGACCAGTGGTAGCCTTTGCTCAAGTTCTCTGCACAGTCAGAACTTCAGGCTGACATGATGGAGACAGGCTTCTGTTAGAACTTGAGCATGGGCTGGAGAGAGAACGGGTTGGGCTGCAGAGCACTCTAGGGCAAGGCTCCAGGCACGGCTGGGCTGGAAGGCAGGGCAGGCCTTTCTCTGTGCAGCAGGCTGGCTAGGCAGCTCTGCATGTCTTGGAGTGCCTCACATGCTCACAAGGGTGCATGCTAATGAAGGGTCAGTCAAGTAGTCAGATTTTTGAGGGTAATAGTTGGTGTAGCTTGTGGCCATTGTCAACTGCTTCAGTATTTGAAACCAGATTGGAGAAGAAAAAAGATTTTGAAATCAAAGGCAGACCTAGAAGAGGAGAGGCAGTGTCCAGTGAGATGAGGGAAAGTCCTTTGGGTCACTAGTGCTTAAGTTGTGCCACCTGATCTAGGCTGGTCCCTGCTTCTTTGCCCTGCCTGAGGTCCCTCGGACCTCAGTGCGGTGTACCACTCCCCGCACTGCATGGTGCTGCATGGTGGAGGGCTGCCATCCTTGGGGAGGCCCCATTCTTGGCACTGTCCATGGATGGGTCTGCTGCTCCCCTTTGCAACTGGCTTTTTACTAGGTGGAGTCTCTAGAATGTTTAGGAGCAGGGGCCACCCTGGAGAGTAATGGGGGAAACAGGGAGACCATTTCCAGTAAGTTCTCCTGGGCTGCCTGTCTCCTTCATCTTGAATGTTGGCTCAGTTGATGTGACCTAAAAGAGCAGACAAGGGAGTCTCCTGCTATCTTTCCAGAAGCCCTGGGAATGTGGGACAGAAGCAGCCCCATCTCCCTGGAGCAACTGGGGAGCCCAACAGCAACCACTACCCACAGGTGTTACCGTCTCCCAAGCCCACATGGCCTTAGGAGCCAGAGTCTTTGTGCCCTAGCCCTGTTCACCAGCCCCAGCTCTCATGGAATCCTGACAGCCACCAAGGACTTGCTTTTCTCAGGCTGATTCAGAGCCATAAGCCCTGCAGATGTTTTCTGAGTCCAGGTGTTTGGACTCAGAGTAGGAGAAGAAATAGGGACTCCACCGGTTTCCTCAGGAGGGAGAGAAAGAGGCTGCTAGGCTGGCTCGCTGCATGGGAAACCAGCCAGCTGGAGAAGAACCTGCCTGCCTCTGCATGCGGCTGTTCTGTCTTTCCTCCTCCTTCCTTAAAAACTAAGTACCAAGCGGGATGGGAAAGCCGAGAAGAGAAGCTCAAGTGTTAATTGTATTCTTTACATACAGATCTTTGCAAAGAAAGCCCTGTCATTGCTAAGTATATGCCGACAGAGGCTGTGAGAGTGACTTGACCAGGCGGCTTGGCCGAGGACACTGGTGGCTATTAAGCATCTGGGTGGACCTGCAGCCCCTCCTCACCCTCGGACAGAGTAAATTCACGCCATGCAGGTTTGCCGGACGAGTCCGAGTGGCCCAGGCATTGTGCTAGGACGGACGTAGCTTTTCCTACGGCCAAATGGTAACTGACCGTAGAGGATTTCTTTTCCTTCTTTTCATTTTTTAAAATTTTATTTTATTTGGGGAGGGAGGGTGGAGGGGTTCCTTAGCATGACTTGCATGAAGTTAAACAGAAAACCCAGCAAACCAAACCCACCAACCTCCCTGCAACTGTATGATTACCCTCAACAACAATAACAAGAAGAAAAAGAAAAAGTCCTATATTTTCTTTCAGAGCTCTTTACTTTTACACACATTGTTGGAGCCAAATTGTAACAACGTTCAGTAGAAACCTGTACATTTCTGGGAGTGGGGGACCGGGGAGGAAGGATGGAGATGGGGAACAAATTGCTTCCCCTTTTGTACACAAGATCGAGAGTAAAGGTTCCAAAAAGGGCAGTCGGTCAGTCATTGGTCATATTGACCCCACCTTCATAGTTCATCTCTCACATGGAAACTGAGAACTTTGCTCCAAATAGAATTGTGGAAACTCGCACTGCCGCCTTCTTCCCTCTCTGTTTGGCATGCTTGTGACCCAGCGGACGTCTCCCCAAGACCCCTGGCAGCGGCTAGTCTAGGTTGAATCTCTCATCATATCGGTGTGTAGATCCAGTGTGACCAACTTTCATAATAAATTGTTCATAGTAAATAATCAGCACCGTATGGATTTTCCAAGTGTTATTTTAAAACCAGGATGTAGAGCACCAAAAGTTCAGGACCACAGGAGGGGCAACCTCCTCCACCTTTACCAAGGCACAACCTGGCGATGTATGCAATTTAGTACTTCAGAGTAAAAAACTGCATGCCCAATGTTATGCAAAGCGATTCGAGCATGAAATAAATTTTGTATCATGGTTTCTGTATAGTCTAAAGCAGATTTGTTTTCCTGAAGCAATTGGAGGTTTGCAGAGACACGCTTCTGCATCTCGAATAAATATAGTATTTTCCCAACAGAAACAGAGGACAGTAGCTTGGCTTTGGTCTGATTCTAAAATTAGTGTGGGGGGGGGAGAAGGATGATATTTTTGAAAAACACATGCTTGAGTTGAAAAAAAAATGCAACATCTCGAGCTTTCACTGCAGCTCACAACATTTCCTGGAAAGAGAGCAACGATGCTTTAGCTCAACAAACTCCCCTCCCTGGGCCCTGGACCCGGAAATAAAAAGCTGACTTCTGAGATGAAGCATGGATTCGGGTTTTTATTGCCTTCAGGCAGTGTCGTGATTCTCTTCCACGGCTGGGCTGGGATAAGCCTGGGCCCTGACTATGCCAATCTCAAGGACCCACCTTGAAGTGCTGTGGTCTGCTCACTGGGGGAAAGCTAAGCCCTAGGAGGAAGTTGCCCCATGCTGGGGGACTGGGCAGGGTGGCCCCTTGCACTACACACCCTTTTGGGGCAAGGGACAGTTCCCAGAGGCACAGAGTGTATGAAGATCTGACAAAAAACCAGCACATCCTCTAGGGAGTTACCTGTCATGGAGATTTCTCCCTGAATCATGCTGTGTTGATGCATCCTTGAATCTGGCCATGTCAGTGCACATCCTGCTCCCTGGCCATGTCAGTGCACATCCTGCAGACCTTGGTCACCTCCCTCTTAGGGCCATTGTTGTATCTGATGAAGCCAGAGACAGAGATCTGACTGTCAGGTCTGGGTGCCCTAGCTAAATGTATCCTTGCAGGGCCTGGTCAGGTGACCCACTTCATTGAATACCCTTTCTCCCAATCTGAGGGCATCTTGGAAGGAGTGCAGTCACCTCCCAGGGATCTTGATTTGCTTCGGTTGTTCACTTGATTTTGGTGTGGGGCAGAGTGGCAGATCCAACACTTTTTCCTATTCATTAGAGACTTGATGAATGCGGGTGGAAAGCTCCTGAAGGTCAGGGCAGTCAACCTCTGAGCATTTTTTGAGAGAAGGAAATGAGGCCCAGAGAGGAAAGTGATCTTTCCAGGGCTACTAATAAGTGAGTGTCAGTATTCCCCTGATTTCAGTTCCTTGTACACCTCCCAGCATGACCTGAATCAATGATCTGAAGAGTGGGTGGGAGGCAGAGGAGGGTGCTAAATTTCCATTTAACAGTTTCTTATCTCCTCAAAGTATTTTCTAAACTTCCTGATGCCCTGTGAAATCTAAGAACAGAGTGTATGGGGAGGGTGGAGCCTCTGCCCAGGGGTTAGGTGGCTAAGGGGCCATGACAAGAAAATGTTTATGCTCCCCAAGGATCTGCCATCAAAGAAGAGCCTCTGGTGAACACCAAGCCATTGGGAATATGGGTTTCCAGGGACACAGTAGCTCCTAGAGAAAGGAGATTAATATACACTGCATATCTACATGGTGGGGGGACATCTTAGAAATGTTGTCTAATGATAGCTCAAAATAGTCCCATTTTAGAGACAAGAGAAAAAGGTACAAAGGAATAAAGTAACTGGCCCAAGCCATATGGCCAATGAATGATGAAGTCAAGATTTTAACACAAGTTATCTGACTCCAGAGCTTAGGTTAATCTGACTCAAGATAATAGAGGCTTCCTGGGGATGACCCTGAGAGGTGCAACTGACAGGAACACTAGAGTTGCTGGTCCTAAATCTCAGGCCCTCAGGACTTGGCCTCCTGACCTTCTTCATGGAGCACCATGGGTATGACAAGCAGGGGTCACTTCACATCCTGCCTTTTCTCCCACACACAGAGGGACAACTTTACTCTCTTTCTTAAACATCTCACTGCCCTAACAATGAAGTTTAAGCTCCCTTGATTAGTTTTTATAGAGGCTACCAGCCTCCCCAATCTCTGCTCCTCATGCCCACCTCCCTTTGTGTGCTCCAGTCACTCTGAAAGTCTGAATTTATAGCAGTTACCCAAATGTGCCTGAGGACTTGGAACCCTCTCTTTGTAACATCCCCACCACGTCCCCACTAACTTTGAATGCTAACTCCCAACTTCCATCCATCACTAAGTCATTTCACTCAGAAGTGTAGAAGGGCTTGGAGTGGTGGGAGGGCTTTATTCTGAGCAACAGGCCTGGATTCACAAGCACCATTTCATCTAAGGTTGGTCTGATGGCTCTCACAACCAACCAGGGCCAGGGATGTCGGGGGGGGGTTCAAGGGAAGATGGGGTGCCTGTGATCAGGAAGGAAGAGTGAGTGTGGTAGATAGGGATGGACACATCCCACCAATATCCAGTACATGTTGGACCTTCAACGATCACCCCAGGGGTCAGGCCAAAGACCTGTGAGCACACAATGGGTGGGGCGGGGGCTTGTTCAGCTCTTGAACTAATTTACTTAGTTGATCAGAAAAAAAGTAATTTTAAAAATGAATGGGCATTTTCTCAAGCTAGCTCATTAGTTAACCAGGTGGTATATATTAACCTTAATTGACTGTCAAATGGCTATGATTCCACAGCATAGTTCATTTATTAGTGGGATAAAACAGAAGATGGGTAAGGATGAAGGTATTGCAAAGGCCACTCATTTACACCCCTTCCCCCAACCTCAGGGTGACCCTAACGGTACACTAATGAGTTCGTTCATTTATTGGGCATTTATTGGGCACTTCTGTACTAGGACCAACACTTAATGAAGGTGCTTTAGAATTGACTAAGACCTGGTCCTCTGTTTTCAAAGAGCTCATGGTCTAACAGAAATGGGGGAGTAGACATTTACAAAGTCTAAGAATGACCAATAGAAATTAGAGGGTCCAGAAAAAAATCTAGGAGACACTTGTTGACACTTCCTTATTCATTGTGTAACAAGAACCTTCAGACTCATCAAAACCAATAAGTGAAGTGATTTGGAGAGAGCCTTTCTGTTGATGCTGCTGTTAGGAGGGGTAAAAGGAAGACTCTAAAGTGACTGAGTGGCCTATGGTGTCTTTTGGTGCCAAAAGCCAATCATTCTCCTGCTTATGGACTATCTGGTGCCCTGCCTGCTTCAAGAAGGATTTGTCTCAGTTCTAAGAGTCTGAGGTTCTAGATCAACAGGCTTAAGGCTGATATACCACTTGATCCTGTTTCAGCCTAAGAAGGAGCCTGAGGCACTTCTTTTTGATGTTCATAAGGTGGATTTGGGAGACACATTAGGATTCAGCAACAGATGACTTGAGATTTTGGTTTCTTCCAGCAGGTACTCAAAGAAGTAGGAGGGAGCCCTGCACTGTAACCATATGAGAGAGCTTAAATTATTCCTTGCTAATGGAAACTGACTAGCAAATACGGGCCTCAGTACTATTCCAGGTGTGATTGATTTTCAGCCTGTTTGATGCAGACCATTCAGCCTACAGGCTGGGGACAGTTGTCAGTAACCTTGGCTTGTTGCAGTATCATCTCTGGACCATTCAATTTTCCATTTCTGTGAACTTGGTCACCTTGGCAAATCCAATTCAGTGTGTAGACAGGGTATATTGACCTCTGTTGGTTGTGGGAGATGAAGATCAAGGACTTTGCCATGTTTCTAGGATGCAGGACTGGGAGTAGGACCCCATGAATTGGTGCTTAAGGTCAGCCTATTGGTGCTCCAGGTTCAGACCTGTAGGAGCTCAGGATTGTCCTCCTCTATACTCTCAGGAGTTGAACTCACTTCTGGCCCCAAGGCTGCTCTCTGCCCCACTCTTGTCTGGCTCAAGACCTTGGATGAGGTCACTTCCCAGTAAGGACCCTGGATCAGGAGTGAAGTGTATGGCCTTGAGATGGTCCTGCCCCCTCTGTAGGCCTCCATTTTCCTACAACAATGAAAATGTTAGATAAGATGAATAGTTTTTAAACTTTCTCAAGGACCCCATCATCTAAAGAAATCTTATGTGATGCTAAATACATTATATATAGGTAGAACTAAAGCTTCTTTGAAAAAAGTGGAGGTGGGTAATCCAGTCCTTTGTCTACTTGACCTCCTTTACTTGTAGTCCATAAAGGAGCCACTGAATTCTCAGAAGACTCAATGGGGCTCTGAAAAATGCAATTTGAAGGTTCATTAGACTAGATGGTGATTAAGGGTCCTCCAGCTTTGATGTCTTAGGATTCTTAACTTCTTCTTAATGTCTTAAGAATCCTAAGACATCAAAGTCACTGGACCTTAGTCATCACAGACCCCAGGTCCGAAACTATCCACGTTAGCCATTACAATCACCCAGGTTGGCTCCAGAGTCCTGCCTGGCTTAGATGATGATGAAACTTCTGAGGGTTTCATTGGTTTGAGATTAGTTTTCCCAGGGACCTCCTCTTCTGGGTCTTTCCAAGAGTCATGTCCTTTTATCTACTTACTCATTCCATGACCCCATACCCCAGCCCTCTCTCTCCCTTGGCCCTAGCTAGCAAGATGAAAGCACCTTCCTTTCAAAGTGTCCAGGTGAAACACCTCAGTATTCTTGAATGGACAAACTGCAAGCTCTGTCCCTTAGAGTGAAACCCCAGCATGGGGTTTGTGGCTGCTTCTGCATGACCAAGGAACCCTCTGTCTAGCTGAATCAAACACTGCTGGACCAAAACAGCCATGGCACTAGTGTGGGGTTTTCTGGCTCTACCAGGCAGGGAGAGGCTGGAACCTTCTGCTGAAATTTTAGATTTTCATGTCCTTTTGCGGGGACCCATCCTTCATTGAATAAAAGGGATGTGTTCTCCTTAAAAGCCTAGATACCGGGAAAACAGCCTCTGCTGTTCTGGTTTGTGGTTAGCTCAATCAGCTGTGCCTCCACGTCCTTCTCAGGTCAATCCCATAACCCAACAAAGTCAGTCTCCAGAAAAACTTTTGGAGAAAAAAAGCCACTTTATTAGGTTGTCTATCACAGCCCTTCACTCCTGGGATTGTCAGAATGGCTTTGGGCTGAAGTTTCTGATTGTCTTTCCTTCCAGTTTCTCCTTTTGTCCATGCCTTCCTGAGATTTGGTGTCCTCCGTGGCATCCAGGGGAGAGCAGGTGACCCTGGGATCTTGGCCCAGTGCAAGATATGCTGGCAGCTGACAGAGGGCCAGGGAGTGGCCAGCGCCACATCCCACAAGGAGTCCTGATGCTGACTGCAGAAGCTGCACAGGCTTCGGGGCCCAGACGTTGGCTTCGGTGCCATCCCCACACATGCCATGCTCGTTCCAGCCCCAGGAGTGACACACCCCACCTGTGAAGAAGAGATAAGACTGCTGTGGAAGTGGGTTTGTATAACAGGGCTGAACACTCACCCGAAGGTGAAAGCGTCAT